TAATAATATATATATATATATATATATATATATATATATATACTTGGGAATTAAAAATTATAGGGATCAATATTTTTTCAGCGAAAAAAAAATTCGTCAAATTTAAAAGTTGTAACTTCGCGAAAAATTACTGTGAATTTATTTAAAGAATAAAGTCTCAATTTTGAGGTTTATATAATAGCTATTCTTGAAATAATTCATTAGTGAAGATAGTTATTTAAATAAGCGTTTATTAAATATCATAATCAATAATATCCATTATTTATTATCATATCTTATCATATTCACATATATTATCTATTTATTTAACAATTATTAAATCTATACTTGAGATGCATAACAAAATTTAATAAAATAATCTTGAAGTAAACAAATTAAATTATATATTTCATAAATATGCAGATAAACAAATATATTATAATGTTTTATAAACTTAACAAATATTATATTATTATTTATTACATTATTTATTATATTATAAATATATTTTTATAATATAATAAATTATCATAATATAATAATATTATAATATATAAAAATATTAGAAGTAAGACAATATTAGAAGTAAAGGTATATATTCTAATTCCAACAAATAATCACTAATTGTTCATTGAACATTTCATTCTGCCAAACGCAATTCATATATTGACGAATAAATTTGAAGTATAAAGTAATTATAAAAATCACTATTAAATTAATTACTAGTTATTTAAAAAACTAAATTAAGTTATAGTTACAGATGGAAATAAAGAGACAAAATTAAGTTACGTTTATTATAAAAAATAATTCTAACTATAAGTTCGTAATAAATGAAGTAATGAATTATTTCCCAATCCTGCAAAACTAAATTTATTTGAGCGAAAATATGTGTAGCTATACTTTTTATATTAAATATTATTACTTAATTAATATATTTTTTCTATTCATAATTTTTATATAGCCTTAAGAAACGTGAGGCACAATAAAAATCAGTAAATATCACTAATAAAATGTTTTTATTACAGGTAATATTCCAATAATTTACAAAGAAAATACATTGACTATGCAAGGATTAAATGAATCAAATGAGACTTGATACAAATCATTAATACATAAAAAAAGTTTGCAAAAACTTAATGTAGAATCTTTGAAGCCTTTTGCTATAATAACAAATATAAGAATAATAATAGTAAAAAAAATTACTTTTTATTAACTTAATTAATTAATTGTAAATTAAGGTAAACCAGAATTAGAAAATATGTAATATATGTTAATATAATATATATTCAATAATATATTTAATAAACTATTATTAAAATCTTAAATTTCTATTTATCTTTTATTTTAAAAAATTGTTCACATATTTCTTTAAATTAATTATATTCTTCTATTAACATATTTGTATTTTTATATATTTTTAAATCATGTCGTTACGAAAGCGTAAATACAATCAAAAAGAAAAATATTGATTAAAAAGTTATTTTGGCTGTGTTAGAAAAAAATAAAAGAAGTATTATTTCTTATTTTGGAGCAAGAAATTCGATGATGAAATCCGATGATTTAATAAGATAAAATCACAACAAAATACGTAAAAAAATGAGTTTAAATTAAAAAAACGTATAACATCACGAGTCAATCGTAACACACATATTATATATGTACTAATCCTACACAATATACATCATTAAATATAAATACACATTTATATATAAAATATAAAATATCTTATAAAAATACTAATAGCAAAAATATTAGATTCAACAAAATATTGCTACGAACATATTGAGTCGGCGGCCGGAAATCCAAAACTTTCGCTTCCAAAAAAAAAATGTCTATCTTATTTTTCCCAAACATAACGACAATACTTTCGTAATACTGTTGTTATTAATATATAGTATCTTTAATTATAGTATATATTAATTATAGTCTTCTTCTCTATTAAATAATAGTTATTTTGTCAAGTAATCTGCTTTATATATATTACATTATTGTTTTATTGAGGAAAATTGATATTTGTAAGATTAGCTGAGAGAAGTATTTCAGACAAGTCGATTAGAACGAGGTGAGAGGGAGATATGTGAAGGAGGGAAGAGAATTTCGGAGAAAAAAGATTAAAAATAAAAAGAGCTTGAAGAGAGAGAGAGAGAGAGAGAGAGAGAGAGAGAGAGAGAGAG